TCTCCTCAAAGGCACATGTGGTCTGACTGGCTCTCCCCTTAAGCCCTGGCACAGATGGCTTCTCAGAGGGGAAAGGGCAGCCTGGGTCTGGGCTGGGGCAGATGCCCGAGGCACAGGCATAGCTGCCTCTCTCCACCTGCTGGCTTGCCATTGCTTATCTGTGCTCCCAGGCGGCTGCTGGCCGCACGCGGTGTGCTGCACGCCATTGCTCTGCTTCGGCTGGGCTGGCTGTCAGTGGTACCAGCTGCCGTGCCACCGTCGCCATCGCTGTGTGCCCCAGGTCCTTCCTGTCTGAAGCACCGGGCCCACCCCGTGCAGTGCCCGATGCAGCCAGCGGGTGACCCTATTGTGCAGAGGAAAGCAAAACCCTGAGCTTTCTCTGTGCCCGCACCAGGCCCTCCTGATCCCTCGCTGCCCTGCCTTAGGTGCCCGACGGCTTCATCTCCCATTTCTACTCCGTATCGGAGCACGTGAGCCCTGTCCTAGCCTTCGGCTTCCTCGGGCCCAAGCCCCAGCTCTCTGAAGTCTGTGCTTTCTTCAAGGTACGTTGAGGGCACGGGGCAGGCAGGTAGTTCCTGTTGCTTCCACCCGGGCCCCGGGCCTGGCCCTGGCACAGGAGCTCTGGGAGGTGCCTGGGTGGGGTGAGGGCCTGGCTGCTCCCCGAGGAAGGAAGAAGAGGGGGGCACTGGTGGCAGGTGGCAGGAACTTTGGGTTGCTTGGAGGATGCTGGGGGCGCTGGGAGCTGGGCCCCGACTCCATGCCAGCCCCGTGTCCCCAGCACCAGATTGTGCAGTACCTCAGGGACATGTTCGACCTGGACAGCATGCGCTACACCACCGTGCCGGCCCTGGCTGACGACGTCCTGCAGCTGTCGCGACGCCGCAGCGAGATCCTGCTCGGCTACCTGGGGACGCCGGTGGCCAGCACCGTCGGCCTGAACGGGGTGCTGCCCGGAGAGCACAGCCCACCGGAGGGATTGCAGTAGTGGGCCCCGGGCTGATAGGCAGGCAGCTGCTGGGCGTCCTCATGGCTGTGGGTAGAAACGCTGGCCCTCCCCACCCCCCTGGGTTGGCACTGCAGGGCAGGGACCCCCAGAGGCTGCCCTCAGGTGTCCACGCCCACAGTTTAAGTAGCTCAGGCTGTGGCTCATTAGTGGGGATCCATGAGGTCCAGAGGCTGCTGGGGTATGTGCAGGGCCCTGCTGGACCCAACTGGTGCAAGGAGCAGGGGGCAGTGAGGGAGCATGGGCAGGGACCCAGGCTGGTGGGGGCTGAGGGAGAGAAAGGTCAAGAGAGAGAGAGAACGGGGAGGGACAGTGCTGACTTGGAGGAACTGACCCGGAGTCCCAGGACTGGGGGCGGAGACCCTGCCTGCCAGTGGGGCTAGGAAGGGAGGTGGACAGTGGAGGGCCAGGCTGACAGTGTCCAGAGTGAGCACAGGCAGACTGGACGGTCTCTGAGCCCAGGCCTCTGGCTGACCGGCCCACTGCCCACAGAGTTTACAGCTGCTGAGAGCACGGTGTGAGGGGGGCTGGGTGGGTGGCCACCCTCAACCTCCAGGAGTGGGCAGGGCGAGCAGCCACCTCTTAGTGCACACCTCCAGGCAGGGTCGGGACCCTTAGCACCACAAACGTCAGGTCAGACATTCTCTCGCCCGGTCTCTTCCCTGACCACCAAAGACCCAGGAGGTGTGAGGGGCAGCCTGCCTCCACCCACCTCTGCCCAGAATGCCATGGGTGACACTAGACTGGCCCTGAGCTGGGCCCCTGCCCAACGGTCACTGTCACACCCTCTGCTGCATCACGGTGACCCCCAGGTGAGGGCCCAGGGACCACGTGAGGGAGGCCCGGGGCTTGGGAGCAGCTCCTTCGCCCTCCACGGGACAAGGAGTGATGACGGCAGCGATGGCCTGACACTTGCCTCCCTCCTGCTGGACGCACACGTACTCCGGAAGCTGGCCCTGGGTGGGAGCCCTCCCATGGTGAGCCCTCCCCAGGGTGCTGCTGCCTGGCATGTTCTACAGAGGAAGTCCTGTTAGGGTCTGTCCACAGCCACCACGTCCCCACACTGACAGGCCCCTGCGGCTACAGACTGGCGTCTTTACAGTGTTCTCACCTGCGGTGGGCTGATTTATTTATTGCCTTACCACTTTATTTTGAGACTGCCCCTCCCCAGGTGAGAGGCCCCGAGACAGACGTGCTTGTCCACACACTACATTTGGCAGCGGCTCCTCGGACCCCGTCCGTCTCCCCCGAATGGAAAAGGACCCCAGGGTGGGCTGACCTTGCCCATGTGAAGTGGAAGGTTGCATCCGTGAGAGGGCTGACTTGGTGTGCAGCCTCGCCCCTGGCAGCCTCCTGGGCCCCCTCCATGCCCCACATTCCGTTCGGTTGCACTTGCCCTGTGTCATGAATGTTCCCTTGGGCCTGCGCCCGGCCCACCCTGCTGTGCCTCCGAGGAGGCCGGGACTGGCACTCTGATTTCGTCTGTTTACATGCCCTCGCACTGCCTCTGGCACTCGGTGTGTGTGGTGGCATCCAGCCTGTGTACGGTGGTGTGCCCTGAATGTGAGCCAAATAAAGGTTTCCACCCACGTGGCCCAA